CTGCTTGGTATCCTGGATTCGCTATGTTTTATGACATAGTGAAGTCTGTTGTTTCACTGATAGAATTCTGGACCTGATTCATACGGTGAATACTTTTCAGGTGCTTTGTTCTCGTTATAGTGATGAGGAATTTTTCCGAATCAGATGCAGAGGTACTTGTTCTACCGGGTCCTATTTTTCATGCGCTATTTTCTCGATCAATACAAAGTGTTTGCAGGATGCGTATTTAATATGAACAAAAAATCTGACGCGAAGATTCATTTCTGAATGAGTTGTGATATCTCCTTGGGATTTCCAAACATTGAGAACTAAAATTAGACGCTCTATGACCTGCCTCATTTGATACTTGACAGTGCATTCCATATAGCAGAGGTTAATTTTCATATGTTTGCATTAGTTGAAATGAGTTGCTTGAAATGTTTTAACTGAAACAGTTGCTTAAAAAATTATGAGGTTTAGAGACTATGTATCAACAACCTACAAGCTTGTGGAAGCAGTGGTACCTTATGTTTGCTTAATTATTTCCTCACATGATGGTAGACAGATCAATCCTCGTTCACTTCACTAAAATACCTCTGCTTTACTGCTCTGACTGTAATTGTCTTATGGATACAAATTCTGTCCAGTTGGAGGGCTAAATGATTCAATTGACCCTCTCCAATCATGACACTTCACTCAGAGGATTCAAGTGTTAAACTTGGTTATGGTCGCTTGTTTATCAATCAATCACCAATTTCTTTCTTTACTATTGTGTCATGATCTCGAGGGATTAATTGAGTCAAGTTACCATCCCTCTCCCAGAGTCGATAGAATCCAAATCCTCGTCTTATATACTGCTGGTGTGTGTGCAGGAAGCAAGGAGATCTATTTTCAACATTATGGACGTTACAATATTGACAAGATATGGCGGGATGACATTTTACCTTGCCGCGTTTATCTTAGGCACTGGTAAGTTCTTTGAGACTATTGAAAGATTGCTTACAGCACCTGATTGCTAGTAGATGCAGACAGGGAGCAACTGCAACCTGATGTTCAGATATCCTATTCATTTTTGCACTATTGTCTTAGTTTTTATTTCCTGGTATTCTAAGTCTTCCTTGTCTTGGAAATTTTCTGCTTAAGAAAGAAATGATGGATTAGTAGTTGATCCAGCCTCTAGTCATGTCAATATGATACACAGCAACTTTTGCCGATGCTTTCAAACTAATGCCAACCAAAATTTAGCTGGTGATTTTTTAACTGATGCTGTTATTGAACATGTAGTGTCTTGGCTGCAAAGAATCTGGGAGATGTTGCCTACGACAATTTTCTGGATCACACATACCTGGCCGACCGTGAAACGACAATCAGAAAGTATTTGGAAACGACAGGGTTGGGCATCATGGAAGAGGAGCCTCCAGAATCCCTGAGAACCCGTTATGGTGGCTAATGTCATAGGTGATGCTTCTTCTGCAACAGATATTCTTGATTTGGACCTTGTGGTGTTCATCCTCCCTCAATTTCGAGAAGCCTAAAGAAAGGGATTCTGTATAATTGCGACGTTAAAGATTTCTTCTGGCGTTTATTGGTCGACTGTAACTAGGCAATCAAACAGAAATCTGGTTGTAAAGCTTTTCACAAGATGCATTTCACAGCTCTGCTCCTTATGTAAAACACGCCCGAATGCGCAGATAAAGAGTAACCGGAAAAAAGAGAAGCGGGCTACTGATAAACAGCGACTTTTCAGTTGAAGAGAGCCAATTCCTGTGCTTCTGAGTGCCTGATTCTGAGTTGATACCCACACAAACACTCTTCCTAGCACACACAAAGTAAAGAAGAAGGATCAACCAAGCTCTCCATTCTTTAATGGCCAAAAATAATCTCCATTCTATGAATTCAGTAGAGAATTCTTCTACCGATAACGATGCGAGTTTCCTCAACGATAAACTCGACCGCTACAATGAGTGCAACATATTCCTATGATAGGTACACGTGAATGCAAAGTCGATTAATTTGAAATTGACATGGCTCGACTCAACTCTTCAATACCCTTTTCTCCGAGTATCAAACTTTCGTCATATGGGCAAGACTTTGAGTCATTTCAGTGATGAAACGAGTACTCCAACGTGTTCGCACAACATATTGTGAATCCGCACCGATAATCAAGCTGATGCATTCAGAAAGGAGGATGTGCATGGAGTCACAGGAGTTTTGACATTGCAACCATATATCAGTTCAAAGGACTAGTAAGTTTTAGAAATTCAGATTTGGCTTGGCCTTGGTTTTCGAAAATGAAAACCTAAGTTTGAAAGCATAAGGCTTGAAACTGCAAACCTCACAATTGAGCATCGCGTTGGGAGCTTCAACTGCTCCAACATGACTTCATCCGTAAGGTCAACGAATTGAGAACCTCTATGCTCATTGGAATTGGTCCCTCTATATAAGGCCAAAATCTTCTCATGGCCCTAAAAATCACTGAGCTGATAAAAGACCTACTCACCAAACAAGGATGAGGAATCATAGGCAAAAAACCCTTGAATATGATAATCTTGGGGTCTGTCTGAGCACTCCGGTTTGCTATCATCAGTTTGAAATTTCTAGCTACCTAAACTTCAAAGAGCACAAAAAGCAGCTACACAGTGGGGTGCCCAACAAAAAGGTAAGGGCTTGTTTGCTTAATATTTGGCAAAAGTCAAAAACTGTCTTTTGTTTCTTTTTTAGCGATGATTCGAAACGGTTTGCGGATTCTAAAAAAAATGGAAATATCATGTTTGAATTTACATACTGATATTTGCGAACCGTGAAAGTTTCGAGCTTTTCAAATTTAAAAACAAATGGATCAAAACTTGTGAATCGTAAGAATTAGATTAAGCAAAAAAGTTAAATGTGAAAGTGGACTTCAGTGAAGCAAAGAAGAATCTTTGGAGTATTGCATCACCGCTAAATATAAGAATTTAGTATTGTATTGCCAAAAAGAAAGAAAAAAGATCTGATGGGATTACTAGATTGTATAAATAAAGTATTTTAATGCCTGAATTAGGAAAAGTTTAGCATGGATGGATTTATATTTATCAAAATCTATAAATTTTGATAAGTTAATAGGATTTAAAAAAAGATGTCAAAAGTAAAAGGAAAGGGAGAGTGTAAAATTCAAAGCAAAAGAAAACAAGACTCCTTGTGTCCAATGATGTCTCGAGATTCAGACACTACAAATTGGTCTTTTTCTCCATTCTCGATGATTCAAATTTGTTTCCGAGGTCTCATCTTGTGCCAGCCAAAAAAATAAATAAATAGGAGATAGAGCTATTAAAATATATATCATAAAAGGAAATTAAAATATATATATATATATATTTAAAAAGGACAAGTTTACAAGGTCAAAAAGGAAAATTTAAAAGAAGGGCAAAATTGGACCCACCCATTGAAGGGTCCTATGAGCCCGCATGTTCTTTTTCGCTTTATCTCTTTTAATTTCGTTTTTTTATATTTCTTAATTTTGGCCAACCTTGTCACATGTCGAACAAGTTTATTTGAAAAATTCATCTTTCCATTGTGGGTCTCCCCTAAAATCATATTTATATTCATATAAGAACAAAAAAGTCATGATTCATGATCGAAACACCATTTATTCGAATATTCAAGACTTGATATACGAGACGAGTCGAGGTTGATCTAATTTAATTTCGAATTCAGGAGATTTTGCGGAAGCTAGGCTAGGAAAAGAGGCGCTGATAGCACGATAGAAATCGAGGAACCGATAGAAAATTAAAGAGTATAGTTCGGGAGGAACTCCGGTTGTATTTCTCATCTCAATTGTACATGTATAGTACGAAAAGAAGACGGAAAAGAATACACATGATATCATTTTCCTATTTTATCTTCTGCATATCTCATCGCACGGATTGACCGAATCAGTTAGTCCGCAATCCGTGTGATTAGAATCAGAATCAAGGATCAAATCAGATCTTTTCTCTAGCAAAGTTTCGATCTAGCTTAACATCGTGAGCTCGAGCTATCTTCCATATATCTGAGCTCGACTCGGCTTCAATTCAACTTGGTTATCAGAATTACATCTCGGTTTAATATTCACGAGCTGAGCACGGGTATAGAGAATTTGTTTGCATTTTCTAAGGTCAAGGTTGAGTGTGACACCCCAAAAATTTCACGTGAAAGAGCTCGCCCTAAATTCAATATTTGTACCTTACCAGCCGCTGAGAATAGTTAAAAGGGCTGTCCGCTTGGTCCCATGCCGGACTTTCTCATCAATGCTTCATCAAACCACATTGATGTTGAATCAATTTGATGCACCAAGTATACATTAACCGAAGCGTTTCGATCCTCCTTTTCGTTTACGAAGGGAATAATCATCTTCGATAAATATATCTCGAGTTTACACCATATCTTACTAATCCCCGAGTCCGAAACGGATCCGTCGGACCCAGATTCCTCCGATAATTCGACCTCGACCGAGCTCTACCGATCACGATTAGCGTACCAACAGTTTACATTCGAATTTTCGGAGTTTCCCAAGAATGCAGCTCCCTAATTATCAGCAAAAAAACGCAAGGAACACTGGAAATACGGTTTTGAATATTCAAAAAAACCACACAGAAATTTATTGGCTCCCCCCATTAACAAGCTTAAACCTTGAATGGGTACCGAAACGGAAGGGGGGCCAAAATCTTCTCTATTCTCACCACCTCTAAGCAAGCCACGTGGCATGATTAACGCTAATCTCTCCCTTCTCTCCCTCCTTAACATGTGAAATTCCATCACCAGCCGATCCACTTTCAAAAATCCCAAACCTTTCTCTCTTTCTCCTCTCTCTTTTAACCACTCCACCTCTGTAATGTGTTCACTCATCTTCTTCAACCTCCTTCAAGCACATTAACACCACCAAACCCACCATGGAAAATGTATGAGCTTGCACTCTCGCTTTTGGTCACTCTCTTTTCACCTGTTTAACCATACATTCGTTCGTTCGTTCGTTCGTTCTTCTTCTCCATCTTTCGCGATCGCTGATGGGAAAGTTGGGGGAGCACGAGGCCATGGCCGATGCCGCCAAGTCCCGGCTGGTGACGGACATTTGCTCCGCCTCCAACCACGCGATCGCATGCTCCCACAGGACACGTCGTGGACCGCCCTGCATCGACTGGTATCGCCTTCTCGGAGTACGTTTTTTTTCCCGGGTTCTCTTCCTCTCGTGGGCTAAGCATTTCTCTTTCTGGGTCCTGCTCGTTCTGTCTCACTCTTCGGTTTTCTTTTCACGGGGCTGCTGCATTAGGTAGAAGAGAATGCAGAGCTGGATACCATCCGGAAACAGTACCATAGGCTAGGTGAGTTTTTTGGCTCAGATGAAGTATGAGATGCGTAGCTTATGCACAATGTGATCATTTTCTCCCATTCTGCGGCAGCGTTGCAGCTTCATCCAGATAAGAATCATCATCCGAAAGCTGAGCATGCATTCAAGCTCGTCTCAGAGGTAAGAGATGTTCACCGATGATTGACTCCTTTTACTGTTCAGTGTGATTCTTGAATTGTTCCAGCAATTATTCTTTGCTTGAACACAGGATGTGTAGTTTCCTTCCATAGAATTTTCTTTGCTTGAACCATCTTCTCAAATGGCTACTGTATACTGATTCCAATAGAGAGACTAGTCCAAAACATATGGGGCAATGTGCTTGATTTGACATTAGATAAGTAGCTTGACTCCTTCCAAAACGGGGTGGGATCCTATATAATCGATTGTACCTTACAACGTTTCTCACACGTAATAATTTACCTATTTTGGGTCCTATGATTCGTAATATATCACAAAAAAATTAGTAATACATCTAAGTTAATTGTAGATTCTTTTTCTAATTAGCAAATTACCTATAATGGATCGTAACTTTTCTTTGATATTTGTCCTCACTAATAGTGATTTGTTCGTAAAATATCATTGCAAAGCTTATTTTTCAAGAGGGCGCAATTTCCCTCTTGGGGTCATAAGTTCTTTAGATTCTATGATTCGTAAAATAATAATCTACCTAAATTAATGGCAAATTTCCTTTGTCTTATTGTTACTAAACTAAGTAACTAATCATAATTGGTAGCACAATATTTCGTAAAGTTTTGCAACGTGTACATCGGTGGATTTTATTTATTCATCGTAACTTTTATTAATTAAATGTAAATTCGATCGATTTTGCGTCCGTGACTTACTTTGTCCGTAACCTTCTTCTAACGTTAGTAAGTCATGATACAAAACCGATTTTGCAAAGCGGACTTGATGGACTACGGTTTTACCCTTTTTATTTAACTATCCCCATTGAATGCAAGATTGGTCCCGTAAAAACACCTACGGGGGGACGGTAAAATTTCCCAAAAGTGCTCTCCTAATAAGAAAATGAGAAAATACCACAAAAAACTCCAAACTATGTCACTTGTGATAAATTTAACCTAAACTTTTTTTTGTAACACGAAAAATTCCAAATTATATCACTTGTGGCACATTTACCCCCACAATACTTTGGCCCAAGAGCATTTTCGCTTTTTTTCTGTTTTTTTTCCTTTCTTCTCTTTTCCCTCCGCCGGCCATTGTGGAGGAAAGCCGGTGAGGGCGGTCCTCGCCGGCGTTGGGGTTGGGCGAGGGCTGCCCTCGCTGGCGTCAGGCGAGAGTCGCCCTCGCCGAAACAAAAAGGAAAAAAACAGAAAAAGGAAAAAGACGAAAATGCCCTTTGGCCAAAGTATTGTGGGGGTAAATGTGTCACAAGTGATATAGTTTGAAGTTTTTCGTGTCACAAAAAAAATTTCAAGGTAAATTTATCACAAGTGGCATAGTTTGGAGTTTTTCGTGTCACAAAAAAAAATTTAGGGTAAATTTGTCACAAGTGACATAAATTGGGATTTTTGGTGGTGTTTTCCCTAAGAAAATTCACATGACCTCTTTATATTGTGTATTTGCGATAGAGATTCTTTATCGTATGTCCATTTATTATATTTCAATTCACGACACGAGCGTAAAATCTTAATACTGTTTGATTTGCTTCTAATTGTAAAAGAAAAAAATTAGTGAATCATGTCATCATTTTATCAAAGTAGCGCATCTTGACACGGTCAAGAGATAAATGACCTCTACCCATTTGCTTGAAGTTGTAGAATCTGAACCGATGTTCCTTGAACTACGCTAAAAGGACTCGAACCATTTCTCAGTGTCTTGGTTTCCTCGTGACCATGATGTTTTTAAAGAATCTCACATGCCACCCACAGACATCTGCACACAGTTACTGGTTAGGTGCCATCACATTTATGATCACTCTTGAAAGAATTTCCAACTTCACCTCAACCAGAAATGGAATCAATGTGTCATTCCAGCGCTCAGGGCTCACTTCTATTAAAATTTTACCAGCTCTTTCCCCCCGCGTACTTGGATAGGAGACTATCACAACTTGTGCGGTGATTAATCGAGTGTTCGAAGAGTCTCTAGCCCTTCATTGCTAAGGCGGGAAAGTGCGCAATGACCTAAATATGCAACTTTTATTTGTGAGGTCAGGCATATTCGTGTCTATCTGATGATGCAAAGAGGAACGCCTTCAACCTGGAGAGATGGAGAAACCTGTGCTTGGACTGTCAGAGAATCCCACACACAAGCTCAGCTTTTTCAAAGCCCACAGATGGATCAAAACCCCGGAGAACTTTATCTGGATTCAAGGACATCAGAGAGAGGTTCAAAGAGGAAGCCAGGGTGATAGAGAGGTGCTTGAGAGCCGCCGCAGCGCTGAAGCAGGCAACCATCAACATTTCATCGAACACCACGCGTGCAAGCAAGACCCGTCTCGGCAACGCCCACAAAGAGAGCCCAATCTTCGACCCGTCGCACTATAAGGCTGATGGGTATCCTCATTTGAGGACCAGGATGTACAAGCATTCAGACAACTTTCGGTGCTCTAGTCTGAGAGAGAGAAACAAGGGCGCAGAGTTTGGTTCTCCAATCTTTATGGGCAAGAAAACATCAGCAGAGAAGGGGTTGAGCAGCAGATCGGTTTGTCTCCGTTCTTGACACCAAAAGGAATTGCTTCCATCTTACATCTTCCATCTTCCACTTCATTTTTCTAAAGGGTGTTTGTCAGATCAAGGTAAAGTTAAAATGCGCTAACACAAGAAATTGCTGATGGATTTCTGCCATCGGTTAGCTGGGCTTTGTTGTAGAGCCCATGTTATAAGTCCTTTCCAAAGGCCATTTTTCTCATTGGCTATTTACAATAATCAATTAAGTCATTTGAATCACATGATTTGTGCAATCTAAGTTTTTTCCATCGTTAGTACTGCACAGTGCTTATGGAGATGCTGATATGGCAATTCTTAGGATTAGAAAAAGTGGAAGAGAAAAAAGAAAATGTATTTCGAGTCTCATGATTTTGGTATTTCATTAACGTGACGAACTCTCTTGTTTGAATGTATTGCGTATGCCGATTCATAAAAATAATCAAATTCTCATACAATCGGATTTCGATCGCAAGGTGATCCTCCCTTTTCAACGATGACATATCTAGGGGGTCAATGAGCAAAGCATCCTCATTTTCTGGTCATATATGACTTGGTATGATTAACACATAAATAACACGAGGTTATATTTGATTGTCAGGGTAACAATTAAGATGGGATAAGATAAAGTGAGATGAAAAATCCCTCGAATAGTAAATGTTGACATATTTTATCTATCAAGTGTTTGGTACACTCTAGAGTGAAAGAGTCAATGAAATTATACAACTAAAAAATTGAAATTTCGATTAAATTTAGAAAATTCAAATAGTTTAAAAATTGAAAAGGAAAAACCCTAGATCTAAGGATATGGCCGCTGCAACGGTGGCCGCTATGGAAAACCACAACCACCGCCGTTGCCTCTGCATGGCGATGAAGATCCGTGGATCTGAGGTCGCGATAGAGAGAGGGGGTGGGGAATTTCAAGGCGACCACTAGCGTCGCCTCTACATCACCCTAGAGTAATTGGGGTATGGGTTGTCGGCGATACCGAAGATATCCAATCTCTCCATCATCGTCTTCACCTCGCCCCTCGAGAGTTCTCCGTCCTCCACTCTGCCTCTACCCACCTCACTTCTTCGACAACCCTAGGAATCGCGGCCCTTACCAGCGGTCGATGAGGGCTTTGCTACCCGGCAAGGGCTCGGCGACCCTTACGGGCCACCATAAAAAAAAAAAACAAGAAGAAGAAAAAAGAAGCAAAAGAGAAGAAAAGATAAATAAAATAAGAAATATATTTAAAAAAATATAAAAAAATTTATCCATGTCAGCGTTGGTCGTCGTCGATCATATCACTTAGGACGGCCGGCATCCATGTTAGCGATTTGCAATCAAAATTGGCCAGATGGACTTAATTAGCAATACTTGAAAGTGTTTATGACTCAATTGGCACAATTAAAAGGTTTATGATTAAATTGGTAAAAGTACAGTAAGTTTATAACTTTTTTTTTAAATTCTCAAATGTATGATGGCTCATATACTCAACAGCATGGCATCTGTCTTCCTTGGAATGGTAGAGGTCCAAGATTCGGCGACTTTGGAACCTTGGATCTTTGGATCGGATGAAAAAAAATTTGTGACAGAATCCTCTTGGCCATTGTCTTACAAAGCCCCCTTCAAAGAAGAAGAAGAAGTTCCTATGGATGAAGCTCCTTTTAGGTTTCGTGTTAAGAGCGCACAGTAGAAGCGCAATACTTTTCGCTTGGGAAGATCACCAAGAGGGAGCCTATCTAGTTCTTGATGCAGAAGGATATCTAAATTAAAGGGAAGCTCACGTGTGAAGGGGAGATTGTTAGGATGCATGTGTGAGTGTGAGTTGTGCTAAAGAAATCCCACATCGGAGAATTAATATGGTGTATAGCAGTTAATATATCATAATTAGTTCATAACTCATTAGCCTTAGCCTTTGAGTGAAGATAAGTATAACGGGATATGTTAAAAGGTTCAGATTTAGGATCCATCTAGATGATCTCCCCGAGAATAAGGTATCGGGCTTTCACTATGCTCTCCTAACATTTCGGCTTATTGATCGATTAAAAATTGAGGTTGAACTAATGTGCTTATCTCTCTTTAGTTCGGATCATGTCGATTTTAAGATGATGCGGTAGATAAAATGTGTTGAGATGTCTTGGACTAATCCAGCAACTTTAGAGGAAGATTTTCTGAATTTGCAATTAGTAAAAGAATCTAAGACGGTGCAAAAGAAAGACTTGAGCATTATATGATTAGTTTGAAAGAAAGTGAAATGTTGAACACGGTCAGATTGTGTGGTGGCTGCAGTTGCTTTGTCACTTTGTCCCACGAAATCTCTTAAACAGTACGACATTTCAAAACTAAATTGAGAAAGAAAGGGCGAGCGAGCGAACTAGTCTTTGCACAAGCAATGATGCTCACCTATGGTCAGCGGTGGCCTTAGAAGGAGAAGAAGGAAAAAGAAAAAAAAATAGAAAAGAAAAGAAATTCAGAAATTTTTATAAAAATTTCTGAAATTGCTCACTAGATTTATATTGTACAAATATAATTTTTTAAAAAAATTTATAAGAACAAGTTTTCAGATATTAGGTTAAATAAAGAAGTTTATTAGCAATACGGGTAGGGTCGGATCAAAAAATTTGCATTGCGATAGATGAGTCATAAATGGATTAAATGGGTCATGGGTCAATTTAAGTCAGACTATTAAGACACGAATGATAACCATTCTATTCTACAAATCAATTTCTGACGAGAAATAAATTTTTCCATTTCTATTCCCTAGACGTATTTATGAGCAAAAATACATCTTTGATAACGACACAAAATTTCTTTCTTACGGACGGGCGGTGGGTGGACGGTGGGCAGCGGCGGCGGGAGGCAATCGGCGGGTGGACTGCGGAGGTTGGACGGCGGGCGGGAGACAGCGGAGGATGGCAAGTAGGTGGTGGCGAGAGGCAGACAGTGACGGACGACGGCAGGAGACGGGAGCAGGCATCGACAAGGGGAGGCAGCCGGCAGGTGGATGGTCGGCTAGTAGAAAGGGTGAGCGATAAGTACAGTTTTTATTTCTAATTTTTGTTCCAAAAATAGAATAGTAAAATTTTGTTATTTCTTATCAAAATTTGTTCAAAAAATAGAAAAAATGAAATTGCGTTATCATTTCTGTTCTAAACCTGTTCCCCGGAACAAATAAATAGAAAGGCAGAAAAACAAAATGATTATCACGCGCTCCCTTAGGGTGCGCATGGCAACGATTCTGTGCCCGGAAACTGATTCTGCACAGAAATGATTCTTTTTTATTCTGTGCCCGGGAATAATTTCTAAGCATTTGAAGGAGTTTGGTAACTGCCCAAAATTTCTATTCTTAGAATAGAAAAAGAACAGAAATGCGTTTGGTAACTACACAAAATTTCTTTTTATTAATAATATTTTGAATTTTTTAATATTTCTTTCTTTTTTTTTTTTTTTCCTTGGCCATGGCCGGCGCGCGCGCCGGCGGCCGGCCACTGAGCTAGGGTCTGCGAGGGCGTCGCGGCCCTCGCCGCCGGCCTCGCCAGTCGCGACAGCGAGGTCAGCTTCGCCTTGGCCGGGCAAGGCTCGACCTTGCCCATATCTGGCGAGGCCGACCTCGCCGTCGCCGAGGGTGGCGATGGCGAGGTCGAACCTTGCCCAGCCAAGGCGAGGCTCGGCCTCGCCGCCACAGTCGATCACGCATGGCCGGATGTGCACCGGAAAAAAATGAAGAACAAATAAAAAGGAAGAAGAAAACCAAGAAGAATCAGAAATGGAAAAATTGTTCCAGAATCAAGAAGCTACTTTTTTTTGCTTGTTCCAAAACTAATTATGGGAATAATTTTTTGCAAATTTGTGCCCGGGCACAAAAATTTTAACAAACGGATTTCTGTTCCCAAACTGATTCTAGGAACAAAAGAATAGAAATTATCACTATTTGGCAAGTTACCAAACGCCTCCTTAATGACCCTTCCGTCAAACAATTAGGTAACCCGACAAGCCGTTTTTTGACACATAAAAAAAAAAAAAAAGGCCGTTCGAACGGAGCCGTGGCCAGCTGTTGATGAGACGAGAAGAAGAGGTGGCGACGACCTCTTTATCGTTATGGCGCCGTCGCGATATGCAAGACTTTTGTGACCGCGACAGTATTCTTTCCTTTTCTTTTGGCTGGCAAAGACGATGAAAGTTGTTCTCTTTGACCTTCGTGGGATTCTATTTGCATCCAACTACATACAGCCATATTTCAAATCGCTTTTCATAGAACTCTGGGCAGGATAAGCACTTCAAGAACTAAAGTTCTCCTCTTTTTTTTTTTTCCATTTATTTCGCTAAAAGATGAATAATTTAAATTTTTTTTTTCTAAAAACGATCGCTCATATCACTTGATAAGAACAAACGAAACGACAAAATTCATCTAAGAAAATATTCAGAAATGAATTACCCTCGATAGCATAAATCTTTTTTAACGACTAGTTATTTCAAGCGATACGGGCGACGTATTAAAAAAAATATTCTCCAAATCGTTCATTTTCCCGCGAAACAAACGGATCCATCTCGAGTCGCGACCAGAAGAAGCTCCACATTCAAATTGGACCGGCATGTCGAGTATTGGATACTTTCGAGCTCCGTCCTGACCGGCCGTATCGCAGGTCTTTTAGCGGGCAGCGCGTATATATTTACCTCCCTCCAATCGAAGAAAATGCCTCCCGATTGATGGATCGTGGGCTATCGACGCCTCCGGCGCCCAAGTTCTACCCGGAACGAGAACCTGGGTCGCGCCCGTGCTTGTAACCCGACAGTTTTTGTCAATAGGAGATGGAAGGAAGAAAAACACAAAAAATAAAAAAAATTTTATAAAAAAAAAAACTTTAGGTCCCATAAATTTAAAACCCAACCCCACCCCTCCATGGAAAGAGACAAAAAGTAGACCATGTGACCGACAAAAAAGAAATTCCCCCCATTCTCAGCACACGTCCACATATTTGAGGAGCTGGCCTCCCCCCCCCAAAGGGCCAATGATATGATGCCTATTGC